CCACCAACTCAAGCAATTTCATTGCATGATGGCTTGTGATTCAAGATGTGCAAGTTCAATAAATGCAAAATGACACACAAACCTTCTCCCTTTCATGAAAGATCAGGGAAGAAGTAGACCTTGGAGACTTGGATCATTTCATCACTAGTGAGTATGAAATGGTCCTAGTTCGATTTGTTCAATTAACGTCCGATTGAACATACCAAGTTATTATCTTGCTCACCCTTTAGTCCCAAGTTCTAGATATTCATTTTACTTTACCAACCATTCTCTAATCCAATTAAGTCCAAAGGTGAATTAAAGTTCTCTAATGGAAAGAGGGCTCAAAACACAAGTTGCTTTAGGTATGAAAGAAGTATCATACCGTTGGTAATGAACATCCTAAGGGATTAAACCATTAACTATGAAACCTCAATTCCACACTTAGGCAAACAAGTGACTTTAAACCACTTTCAAAGAAAATTAAAAGCCAAGAAAGGAGGGAGGTTTCAAAGATGATTAGTGCTGAAATTAAAAGCACTAAAACATGCAATCAATTCAAACAAGTGGTGTCTAAAAGCCTAAAACACCAAGCTTGTGGGGACTATTACACTACAACTATGCAATATAAGACTCAAATGCAATAACCAACCCAAAATAGAGTTAAAACAGTCCAAAATAGAGCCTAAAGCATGCTTTAATAAAGCTACAACAAGCTAGACAAATAAGCTAAAGCACGACACCAACTAGGCTAACAAACAAGACACAAGGAGGGAAGGCTACCCCCTTCAAATTTGGACTTCAAAACCTGATTTTTACCATTGAAAATACTTTGAAAATCAGTGGTTAAAGGCCTAAAAAAAGATGGTTTGAAAATGGGAAACAAAGGTGAAATGACCTTACAAACAAGGAATGAAAAAGGGTGAACCACCCCCAACCTTAAATGGCCAAAAACACCAATTTCAGCCCACAAAAATAGAGTTTTTTACAGTTCAAAAACAACCCAAAACAATGTGAAAAAGATGGGGAAACAAGTATGTAAAGCAAGCTAATAAAGCAAGTACTATACCTTTTGAAGAGAAGAGCAACTATAGGCCACAATTCAAGCCAAAACCAACTTCAAGAGCTCCAAAAAGGCCTCAAGGAACCTCAGTTCAAAGGTGAGAGGATTTTGGTTAAGGAAGTATAGGCAAGAGTGTAGTGTATGTAGGCAAGAGTGTAGATAATTTGTAGAGAGAGAGGAAAATTTTTTAGTCTAAAATTTTCTAACCCCAAAACATGAGAGAGGGGTTTCCTATATATAGAAAACATGAAATTTCTACAAGGGGATCCAGCCCTCCATGTGTGGACAGATGCAAGCATCTGTGCAAACAGCTGGCATAGCTGGCATAAAATATCTGCAGAAAACACTAGTGGTCGGCCGGCCATCATTGGTGGCCGACAAGCCACATGAGTGGCTAACAAACCAGAAGTGATGGCCGGCAGCCTCTAGGGATGGACGGTAGGCCACTAGAGGTTGTAGGCTGAAAGACCAAGGCATGGTCCAAAAATGAGACAAAAAAGAATGCAGGGTTTGAAAGGCTCAAAGTTGTGGCATTCTGCTGAGGACTTCAAGTGCTTGGTGAGCAAACAGACTCATCATCGGGTGTACCTGCAAGGACATCCAAGTCTTGAAGGGCCATAAAAAATAAGGTGTCTACAGTTGCCCTTCTTTGATAGAACTCAGAGTCATGAAATGACGTGAGTGAATGTCAAAGTCCAGAGACGGCCTATTTTGACAAGGCCGCAAGACTTAGACAAACAATCAGGACAAAAAAAATGGTTGCGCCCGCTAGCTGCTTACGTATCCCTTTGCAAAGAATCAAACCAGCATAGTTCTGAGGCAAAATGCAAGTGATATGAATGATGCAAGAACATAACTTACGATCATGCAATGAGGCTGTACAATGAAACATTTGAATGTAAATGCAATGCAAAGAAATGCCACATTTAAACAAACTGAAACAAGGCACAGTAATTCCAATCATGAAAAGAAATAAGTAAACAAACACACCACGTATGGGAAACATGAGCGAAACCACATTTCATGCAGAAAAGATGTAAGAAAATTAAAGCTAACTACGCGACGCGCAGGAAAGGCAAAGGGCGACGTAACCGTCGAACACACTCGAGGTTTCAACCGAGATCCTAACGCGTTGCACGCGAGAGGAGGAATGATGGTGTGAACACCGAGTGCACCCGAATGTTTTTAACCGACGCAAACAATCCTAGCGCATCTCACGCGATAGGAGGAGAGGTAGCGTGAACATCGGGCGCACCCGAATGTTTTTAACCGAAGGGTGGTGTGAACACCGGGCATGCCTGAATGTTTTTAATCGAAGGGTGGTGTGAACACCGGGAGCACCCCAATGTTTTTAACCAAAGGGTGGTATGAACACCAAGTGTACCCGAATGTTTTAACTGAAGGGTGATATGAACACCGGGCGTACCCGAATGTTTTTAACCGAAGGGTGGTGTCAACACCGGGCGTACCCGAATGATTTTAACCGAAGGGTAAAAAGGATACGATCCAAATATGGCATGAATGATTTTATTTAGAACTCCTCTGAATGAACCGTACATAGAATATCGTGCATATGTAAGAAAGAGACTTAACAAGTGCAACACAGTACAAATACATGTTCTATGCAAGATAAACAACCGAGATACAATGGCAATGGCATGTTCCATGCGAAACAAACAATCGAGACACAATGTTAATGGCATGTTCTATGCAAAATAAACAATCGAGATACAATGTTAACGGCATGTTCTATACGAAATAAACAAAAACAAAAACATATTCTATTCATGATTCAAGAGCGAAAGCATGTTCTATGCATAATTCAAGAGCCAATGCATATTCCATGCATGATTCATAACGAAAGCAAGATGCACATGCAATATGCGTGAAACACATGTTTTATGTAACAACATATACGAAATGCATGTTCTACGCAAAGAAGTGAAATACATATTCATGCAACAATGAAGAAATGCATATTCATGCACGGTAACTTTCGACTTACCTCTCGAAAGAGTAACAATATGTTTAAAGGATACACCTCGTTCATGTAGACAAGTAATGAACATCGTGCATCGAAAACACAGTTTAAAGCTTCCGTATAGAAAAATTGAACCGAACAGTGAACTGTCCTTGCATTTCTTGGAAACCTAGGACACAAAACAACATCAGAACCACAGAGGAGGCCAAAGGACACCTGCCGGCTACTGGTGAGCCTTGCCGGCCACCTGCCGACCATCGATGGCAGTGCGGGGACAAATTTGACCTTTTGGCTTGGGTCTTTAAATACACACCTTCACACTTCATTTCCTCACTTCTCTAGGGCCGAAATCTTTCTCCCTCTCTCTCTAGGAACTCCTTCTCTCTAGATTTGCACTTTCTACACATTTTCCAACGGCCCACGCGAAGTTGATTGAAGAGGTATTCAACAAACTTCATTATTATATAATCATATGAAAACAATTGTAAGGAAATTATCCACAAGCCAAGTCACTTATTTATGCTTTATTGCATCATATTTGCTTAAAGATTAACAAATAATAGATTAATGGGTTCTCTAATGCTCATTTCTCTAGTTGTTGGGCCACCAAAATTGTGCTTGAAGATAGACTACCACCTTCTTGTCCACTTGGAATGCCTTGGTATGAACATCATCAGAAATTTTTGGATTTGACCCGAACACTACATTAGCAACTGTAATGGTTCCGGGATTTTGGCTACTTAGGGCAGCAAGAGCTACTGCATTAGTCTTTCCATTATTAAATTGAAAGTGAATGAGACCTTGTGGGAACACAAAAACATCTCCTAGGTACAAGATCTTTGTGAAGAGACGGTTGTCAGTGTTGGAGGTCACGAAACCAACGTAGAGAGTACCTTCCAAGACCACGATCACTTCAGTTGCACGAGGGTGTGTACGGGGTGGATTGAGGCCATAAAGTGCCATGTCGATGCGAGCTAAGGAAATGCCAAGAGTATTGAGGCCAAGTATTTGCATAACATTTACGGGGGTGACCTTTGACCCAACTGGGTTCGATGTGCTTTGTGGAGTAAGGAGGCTGGAAAAGAAGAATTCATCGGTTGTGGCAAGCTTTGGGTCCTTACAGACTTTGCCATTCACGAACACTGCATGCAAATGAAATGGAGTTGTGCTTCAGTAAGATTGGGTGAAAGAAAGAAAAAGTTATATAAACTAATCAATTTTTAATAATGTTACAGTAATGACATCTAAGAAATTAAAAATTGGTCCTTTAAAAATTAAAACAATTAAAATATTGGAGACCGAAAAGAAACATGTCATGCGGACCAAAAGGGTAATTAACCTTTTTTTTTTTTAAGTTGATGAGTACTTTTTGTTTATAAAATAATGTTTATTTTGATGATGAATATTGACAATGACAGTGAGGGAGACTAATTTAATACATATTTAATACTTTAAATACTGAAATATTGATTTTCAAAATGACACAAAACCCATATTTATGCTACGAAAAGTACAATTAATCAATAAATATATGACTTCAAAATGAAAAACTTACATGGACTATATATACTTCCAATGAAAAAATTGAGGTTTTAATTATCATCAAAATACAATTGCTTTAAATAATCATGAAAATCATATTTCAAAATCTTCGACTTCAAACATTGGAAGGCACAAAGTTGGGAGATAGAGTTGAGCATAAAATATACCAGCAGAGTTATTAATAGCAACACAAAAGTCTTGTAAAGGACTGGGGTCTGAAGCAGAGACAAGTGTGGAAGCCAAGGCCATGATGGCTATGGTTACAAGGATAAAGTGAGTGCCCATTTTTATCACTCAAAAACAAAAAATTGGTTGAAGGTGGAGATAGATATGTAACCATGGAAAGCTCAACTATTTATAGAGATAGAGTAGCTGAATTTTTCATTAAGTATTTCCAATGCTAATGAGACAAGAATTACCAAGTCCACAAAGAGAAAATGCAAGGAGAGCATAGGAAATATTCTTGAAGAAAGAAAATGATTAGTTCAGCAAAATTTCATCACTTGATTCACAATCAAAGATATTTAGATATTATCTCCTTCTACTTCTGTATGTTATGTATTGTAATTTTATCTCAACTTATTAAAATATTTGTTGAAGAGAGAAAAAGATTAAAGTTTTACAATACTTGGATATTCTTTGAGCGATTAGTTTCAACAAGACAAAAATTACTTACATTCTTCAATTAAATTGTGTGTATAGAGTAAGAAATAATAATTCTTATATTCACTACACAGAAATGCCTTTAAAAGAAGAAATAAAGAAGAAAATGTGCATTTTATAACTCACCATAAATGTAACAAAATAATACTCTGTTTATCTTTGTATGTTTTTTATTTAAGAAAATGTGCATTTTACCTGCAATACCAGTGGCTGCCTCAATTTGGAACAACTTTGCGCCCCCAAAAGTGCAATTCTTTGGGTGGTTGGCTTGGCTTGGTAAGGATAAAACCTCTACTTTCCTACATAGAATTGGAATCCTCATGGGAAGTGCAAACTTTGGCTGTGTGTTTTGTCATAATGAGGTTGAAACAGTGGAACATATTCTGCTTTACTGCCCTTTTGTGTGGCTGCTTTAGTTTGACATTATACACTGGTGGAGATAGCAGTGGGTGATACCAAGTTCAGTGCAAGGTCTGTTGCAATGGTGGTCTGGATGTAAAATGCAGAAGCTGGAGAAGAAAATCTGGATGGTTATACCTTTGGCCACTCTTTGGTCCACATGAAAGCATAAAAATGATTGTGATTTTAATGGTTCTCAACCAAAATTTGGAAGCTATGTGTGAATTAGTGAAGATTAGAGTTGTTATGTGGCTTAAAGCATTGCAAATTCAGGTGGACTTTTCTATAAATATTTGGTCTTTGATCGGCCATAGGTGAAGTATTGTATTAGGAATGGAGGTTGAATGTTATGGTTCAAGTCTGGTGTTTTGTTTGGTCTTGTCAATTAGGTTTCTATGTTCAAGGCAACAGGGTTATAGGTCTAATTTGACTGGAGTTACTTGTCTGGCTGTTGTGTTGGCATTGGTCTTGTTGGTGTGTCTGGTTCACTGCTCTTTGCTAAGTTTTGTAGAATGACTGAAGGGTTGCTTGTTGCTTTGAAATGATTGGAAAATTTGAATGGAGTTCAAGGCAGTGTAGAATGACTGAAAGGCTGATGGTTTCTGCTGATGTTTGCACTGGTTTCTGGTTGTCTTGCTGATATTGCACTTGGTGCTTGGAAGCAAGGCTACTGGCTGGAGGTTTGCTTGTTGTTTTGAAATGTTTGGTTAATTTGAATGAAGTTCAAGGCAGCAGTGTTATAGGTCTAATATGAATGGAGTTACTTATCTAGCTGCTATGCTGGTATTTGTCTTGCTGGTGTTTCTGGTTCACTGCTCTTTGTTGAGTTTTATAGAATGACTGAAGGGCTGCTTGTTGCTTTGAAATAATTGGTCAATTTGAATAGAGTTCAACGCAGTGTAGAATGACTGAAGGGCTGGTGGTTTTTGTTGATGTTTGCACTGGTTTTTGCTGATATTGCACTGGTTGTCTTGCTGTTACAAAGTTTTGTGGGTGCCTAAGCTGGTTTTTCTTTGCCTTTGCTCTATTTGCTTTGTTTGTTGGCCTCTCACCAACTAGGAGGTTGGAACTTGATATAGCTTCAAGCTCTTCTTTATTGATATAATTTATCATACTTTGTATGTGTTTCATCAATGAAGTCTTCTTTTGCCGATCAAAAAAATAAAAATCCCTACAACATATTAAGGTTTTAGAGATTACAAATTAGGTACAAAATCTCTTTTTAGGAACCGATTTTTTTGTTGTTACAAGTGTCATTATTATATTTTTAGCGACGAATTAGAATTATTATACTTTTGGGACCCAATTATTTTGTCCCAAAAGGTATGCTTATTAGAGACATTTCAAAGTTTTGTCACTAAAAGTCATTTTTTGTCTTTTTAGGATGACTTTTAAGCGACCATTCTCATGATGACATGAATTGGTCGCCAAATATTTTTTCCAGCAAAATTTTTACATCTAAAAATAAAAAAGTTTAGTCTTTAGAACTGTTAGTGTATGATTGGTTATCAAGCTGGATTAGTGAGATAAATAAATTTCTTGGATGCATGTTTGTATTGCAATAGATATGCAAATATATAGGAGGATTAATGTGTAGGTCTCAATAAGTGAACTTATTGTTCAATAGATCTTGTGATAATTAGCGGCGATTTTATAAAAATTCGTCATAGAAAATGTCATTCATACTTACATTTTGGCAACAAATTTAGAAAATCGTCATAGAAAACGTCACTAATTGTCAGTTTTTAGTTACAGATTCAGAAAATCGTAACAAAAAAATCACTAATTATTAGTTTTTAGAGATAGATTTAGAAAACCGTCACAAAAAGTCTTTTTTAGCGATGATTCTGACAGGATCAGCTTTCAGCAATGAATTGATAGCACTTAATGAAGAGAATTAAGTCTAATTATTAGGACTTGCTATTAATTTATCCAATAGATAATCCCATTTGCATGATTGCTTTGTATTTTTAGTTGTAAGATTAAAAAATTCTACAATTTTGTTGATAAAATGTCTAATCTAGATAATATAAGTAGAACAATAAAATGTGTGAGTTATATAGATTAATAATTTCAATCATATAATATAATCCACTCAATCAAATAAATGCTTAAGCGATAGATTTGAATTCGTCATTTTGGCTGTGTTTATTTTAATGTAAAATATTTCTCAAAAATATTTTACTCATTTTCTATTGTTTGGTTGAACAAAAAGTAAAAAAAATAATTTTTAAGGAAAATAGCTTTGCATCATTGTTCTAAAATAACTTACTTTTAAAAATTCCGTAAATTAATTTTTATAAAGTTAACTCTCACTCACCATCTTTTCTACATATTTATCATTCTCAAATAAAAATCGTAACTCATTAAAAAGTCATAAACGACACTTTATTGAATCATAATTTTTCTTTCACGTAATAAAATATTTTTATTTTAAGTGTCCACCACAAGTCGAAAAATAAAATTATTTTTTCTATACAAAATTAATATATAAAAAAATATTTGACATTGAAATATATTTTCAAAGAAGTTAAGACTCTTCAACAAGGAAAGCAAATTAGACTTTCTATGCCCACATGCTTGAAATGAGGTGACAAAGCTATCATGACATACTTCTATATCTCTATGTATAATGTATAATTAAGAGTGATTGAGAAATTGTCTAATATTTTTTAATATAATGCTTATAATAATGTGTTTTTACCCAGTCTTGTATATGGTTAGCTGTTTTTTTTTTTTTTTTACTTTTTGAACTGTGTATATGGTTAGCTTATGGTCTAACTCCATGATGAATGGTTCTACTGGCACCCATATGCATCTTTATTCGCTATAATTATGATTTTTGAGTTTTGTCAAAAATGCAAATATATACATGAGTATATGTTCGAGATTATTTTTATAGTACTTTGAAGGACTATGTAGATAAAGTTATGATAAATTACAAATATAGTCTCTGAGATTTGTTTTAAATACATATTATTTATTGTGGTTCTGAAAATTGTAAACACACTCGTCAGTTTTTGTCATTTAATACAGTTAATAGAAAAAATAAAATTTTTAACTATCCTTCTGTATAACAATAAAATTATTAGAAGTGTTAATTAATATATATTCAAAAAATTGAGAAATTATCTAATATTTTTCAATACGAGACTTATAATAATAATGTATTTTTAACCAGTCTTCTCTTTCTATGGTTTTGCCTATTGTCTAACTTTACCATGAATGGTTCTTCCGCTATAGCCATGCAATTTTTCTTAGGTAAATTATAATTATAGTTTTTGAGTTTTTGAAAAAAAATGTAATAAATTTTATAAAATTGGTATAGTTATATGACCACGTAGGCCCAAAGGTCCACTTCTAAAAATTTTAGGATAATAGGCTCAAACTTAAATTTTCTTGTGCTAAAAGGACATTATTTGTCCGAAAAGACATATATTTGTTTAAATCTTAACTATCTATCTATCTATTTGTTTAAAATGTCGCCTATCTGTTTGACTATATATTTTAATGTCCACCTATATGTACACATGACACCTATTTATTCACTTATCTATTCAATATCACATATCTGTCCACCTCATTGCCGCCAGTGGCTGGTGACTTTTCTAGCACCGGTGATTTTCCAACATGTGTCCTAATTATCACCAAAAATGATTAAACATTAGACTAAATAACATATAACTCCATGGATGTGGATTTTTCACCAATTAACCCTTGTTATATTGACTTTTCTTTAAATAAGATTAGAGAAAAGATAACTGATATTTTTATTTTGTTGTCATTAATTTTGTGTTCTAAATATTAAGCACAAACACTTTTTTTTTTGAGTTAATTATAATTTTATCACAGTCTTATTTATTTCATTCTTAAACTATTGATTTTGTTTATTTAGTCTGCGAAGGTTTTTACTTCAATTTATGTTGGTCCAATTGGTAATATCCGTGCAAATAACTAACAGTATAACATTAGCGTAATAAGGGCCTCTCCACTCATAGTTAATTAGTTTTGAGTTGGATGTTTTAATAAAGCCACACACATAAAATTTGATCGGTCAATAATAGGTTGGGTTCAGGCCAACCCATCTTATATTTTTAAAATTTGAACCTATTCATGTGCTTAAAAATATGGGCTTATGGGTCTCGGGGCAAGTTTGGCTAATATGGGCCTAATGTGACCCAAATTTCAACTTTAATTCAGATTTTTTTTATTAAATTCCAAAA